CAGTTTATCTACTTCAGATTCAATATTTTTGTGGGAACTGTACCGGAAGAATCGGAAGCGCTTTTTTTCTTCAAGTTCTCTGGCGCAATTTTCACTTAAAGTTTTCGGCAGTTTTTTTGCCTTCTTTATCGTTGTCCACAAATTCCATCATCTAAATAATGTCTTGATTAAAGTAACATCATCTTTAATTCATCCATCTGAAATAACCTCCACTTTCATTCTTTCCTTCCTATTCAGTTTCACGACATTCCTGGTGTCCACATGTCCATCAATCTGAAATAACTTCCTCTTTCATTCTTTTTCCTTCCCATTCATTTTCTCGACATTCCGGGTACCTTGAGAATATAAAATCTTTAATTAGGCCTGCCATTTGTTATTTTTGAATGGTGTGTGAATACAATTGATAGATATCAACATTAAATAGAAAGAATCCACTTTTTTATAAATCAATAAATTATAAAAAGCATTTACATGCAGATAAAAATGAGTACATTTCAATATTCGTTCATTGGAAATCAACATTAATAAAAAGAATCCACATTGTTTATAAATCAAGTAAATTATATAAAGCATTTACATATCAAAGCTAAATGATACATTTCAATATTTCTGTTCATTGCTGCAAGACAAACTAGACCGAGTTTCTTGATTTGGTTATAGAATCGTACCTACTACTTATAATACAGTAAAACCTCGATTATACCGTGCCCTGATTTACCTCAAAACCGTTTACCGCGGCCATTTCCATAGTTCCATTCCCCAAATAGGCTGAACATACTTAATGAACAATTAAAACCCCGAGTTACCGCGGCCCCATTTTCTCGGGGAATTACTATACCTAGAATTAGATCCCTTAGATTTTCTATAGTTACAATATGCGAGCTCTCATAGCAAAGGTTGCACTGAATAATCCAAGCCTTAAACACTACAGGTGACATGATAACATGGATGATGTATGGGGTTAATTGTGATCCAGCTCTATCCAATCATTATTACAATCAACACTTAAGTCCGGATTTAGAAATTAAACTTATCTAACTGAGCAAAAGTGAATTACTAATTGCCATGCACACTGTAAGAGCTCCAATAGCATGTGGTAAAACTGAGTTGGATGAATTATACAAGTTACGCCGTGTTCACTTGAAAGATGGTTACGGTAATATTAGCTGAGGCAAAACATCACCACGTTAAAATTTTCGTCGCAATTTACTTATTTCAGGCTTCAGCTGCGAAAGTAGCCTCCCGCAGATGTTATATGTAAACGACTCCGCGTAATCACATGGAACACGTCATGGTGCTCTGGTCAGTAATTATGAAAGTCATATATTCACGGTGCTCTCCAATTATGTCTGGAGCCGACTAACCTAACTTACGTTGAGGAGTTATAATTGGTAACACATGTGCGTGTGCAACTGAATAAAAAACACCTTTATATCATTCCCAACTCGAACCAAGGTTCATTTCAGTTTGTTTCTGATTCCGCCTTATTAAGCTGTTTACAAATGTAACTATTCCAACTACCTTCCCCAGACATGCAATCATCAAATGGCGAAACAAGCTACCCAGACCTCTACATAAGCCTCTCTTCTCCTGCCCAACCCTTATCTCACACCCCCCCTAAACTCTCTAGATTTATCAAACACAACATCTCAGACAACCCTCCCTACCCAGGAACCGATTCCTACTCCTAGCTGTGTTCGACCTACTTGCTTGTGTTTATATCCCCCATTGAATACAGCGAGAGGACCGCAAGGAAGGATAACCCTGGATTATCTGAGAAATCTACAACGGGAATTCGCGAGGAGCACTACAAGGGCTACCTTCATGTGAGGCAGGCGTGGTCGTTAGTCCGGGCAGCTATAAAGAATTTATACTTCACACTCTGCCTTGTTATTTTGACCGACTACGGGCCATTACTCGGTTTTTACAGATCAAATTATCCACTGGAGATAATGGAAGAGGTGTTTTTGGGATTATTGGATCTTGGCCGAGCTTCATATTTGCCTGGTTTTTCGTTCTTTTTTCAGGAAAGGAGATGAAATCAATCCCAATAGTATTGAATATGCCCATGTTGCCATCATCTTGGAATTTAAAACCTTCTTTTTTCGGAATCTGTATACATTTTCAAGTTTATGCTCTATCTTAGCTTTTATTTATTTCGTAGCATTAGTGCAGCTTTTTGCAGTTTTCACGTCTTTTTCTCACTATTTGGGAGCTGGTGAAATTGAATAGAATACGTCAATGACAATATTGCAAGGAGAACAGTGTTAACGGAGTTTAAAAAATAATGATAACCAATTTTGGGAGCGTTGCAAACATAATTGTAATCGTTGCAATAAAGCATATGTTTCAGCTGCTACACCTATAAAGATTTGAATATTGAGGATCGTAAGTTTGGGAAGAAGTATGATTGCTCTGATGAAAGGACCAATGCACTGTTTTTTTGTTCACTTTTCCATAACACAGCTATGGTTTCCTTGCTTTTCTTCCAACACTAAATCCAGCCACTACCTAGGCTTTCAGCTCCTGAATCAAGAAAATGGTACTGGAAAATCTGCCGGACTCAAACACGACTGTCAACGACATGAAGAAACTCAAAACCATTGATGAAATGGCACAGACAGGGACCTCGCTTATTGTTTCTAGATAATAACGTTAAGCATGTTCCTGAGAATTATGACATTTCGACCGGTAACACGATTGCTGGGATAGGACCTATTAATAACTGGATATCTTTTAAATTTAATAACTGTTATTGACTCTATATTAAATATTCGCTGCAGATCGTAAATATACAAATTAAAATTTAATTTTGACGGCCCCAACGTTAAGTGGCTCTACTATGTTGTGGTTCAGCCGAATTAATATAATGTGTAATCAAGTTTTTTTTCTCGTTTTAGTTGTCATCCGGCCAAACAATTAAGCAACTTATATTGCAGGACCATTATCAATTGTATATCAAAATATCATTGTAATTTTGCATGGCTGAAATGTAACGCTTGATTGTTATATAATAGATGATTAATTGAATTTTTCAAATAAAAAAAAAATCAGAGTTTTTCATTATCATAATCAGTTAATATAGACTCTTAAAGAAAAATATTTTTACTCAATGGTAGATTTAAAACAGATTTGTATGGTAAGAACTAATATGTATTATGTATATAATTATATATATATATATAAATAATAAATATTCCAACATTCATTATTCTAATTTGGCACTGAGGATTGTATTGTTTTGTACATACTAAAAAAACCCCCATATCAAGAAACGGATCGTTTGCCCCCCATTTTTGAGTGTTTCATATTTTGTTCGCTTATATATAATATATTAATACATTATATATAATATTTAAAGAAGAAACAAAAAACCTTAACTCCAATCATGTGCTCCAAAAGTCCGACCGTATTTATTTAAACACGTGGATTGCAGAAGCAATGGCCAAGAATGAAAAATACTATGCAGCTCTGTAAGACACACTTCGAAACTTATGCAAACTTCCAATTTATGCAGATTTAAACGTCTCTTATATCAATTAATCCACTTCATCTTCATATTCTTATGGATGTGACTATTCTTGTCAACACCTCTGGGTTTGGGGGGACTGGGGTGGGTTGTGGTGGTGTGTTTTTTCTTCCAATCTGGATCCATCTGACCTGTTGCATTGAGGTTGAGCTCCAGAATGGCTTGTATTTGAGGTTGAGGCCTCCAGAATGGCTTGTATTTGAGGTTGAGCCCTCCAGAATGGCTTGTATCACGACTCTTTTCTTTTTGAATACTGTAATACACTCCCTTACATCAGCTGCATACTTTTCTGGAAAGTAATTTTAAGTTATGATTAAACCTGCCAAAAAAAATGATATCATAATTTCAGACAGCAACTCAGAGGCAATCTAAACACCCAATACGCACTTCTTACCGCACTATCGTTCGTTATTAATTAATCCCTCAACAGACAAAATTGAGACTAATATATTATATTAAAGCTATAGTTAGACCATGTGTAGAATTTACAATATTGAACACTGTGCCTCCATAATATGCTCATCAATCAGCATAAGCCCATAATCCTGCCCATCTTAGTGACGTCACAACACGTGGTGGTGGACGTCACTTCACGTGGGTGTGACGTCACAACACGTGGTGTGACGTCACACACGTGGTGTGACGTCATAGGCTGGGTAATTGACGTCCACAACACGTGGTGTGACGTCGACAACACGTGGTGTAGACGTCACAACACGTGGTGTGACTCACAACACTGTGTGACTATAAGGCGGGGTCGAGTGACGTCACAACACGTGGTGTGACTCACTAATTAGCCCCAGTCATCTGCCCATTCTTATTGTGAAAATGAATTGCAAAAACTTCTATTCGGGATTAATTCTAGAATTATACATCTCATGTAAACATTACCCTTGCAAGAACTATTTGTTGTGTAAAACTCATGAAACGTGTGCGGCAACGATAGAACTACGCTGTCGAATAATCCAACTACGAGTACCATAAGGCTGAAATTTTTATTTATTTTTAAAACTGAAAGATTTGGCGGTGTTTACTGGTCACCAAATATGCCACACATAATATTAAAAGGTTTAAGGTATTGCGAAATCGCACTTATTTGCAAAATATTACCGCACCTATAATATGTTTGCCTCTGAGACACATTTTCGCTTGTTCATATACACTACGTCAGCTAGGTAGTATATATAGGTAATAATATCTAATTAATACTAAAATCACACATGACAACAACAACCTAACTAATTAAATAATTATTAACTTACTTATAGTAAGCTATACTAAACTTACACGTTCACGTCTGTCTGACCAAAACAAAAGGTGTTAATCAGATATACAGTATAGCACTAAGCAATAGCTCCGGCCACCTCCTTATTCTTTAATTTTCAACAGATTCCAAATTCTCAATACAACAGATCCCAAGTAATATAAAATCAAAATGATAAAGATGTTAGAACAAAATCCTTACAAATAAAATAGAAGAATTGAAACTTATTCAGGTTTATCTTCAACAATGCCATTCAGTCCATTATTGGCATCTTTCTTCTCTTTTACAGCATATCGATCCATCAGTTCTCTGACTTCCTGAGCTTCTCGCTGTCGTCTTAAGTACTCCCTCTCCCTCGGATCATTATTCACCATTCTGGCTGCCATTATACTGTCGAGGGGTGTTTGGCCATTTATCTGGTCAGATTCACGGTTTCTTCTGGATGCAGAGCTGAAAACGGGTGAGTACACATTGCAAGGCTGCCAAGGCAAACAAATCTGTCAATATGAACTTAAACACTGTTGTCATAAGAGCAACTAAAAATATTTGTTAAGTTCACAATTGAAATAAGTTCAGGAGCAAATGAAAAGCCGAGTACAAAAGGTAAATTTGACGAGTATAATGAAAACAGAAACAGTTCAAAGGAGCTATAGCTTATGTTCAATATTCATATATTACACCACAGTTTTCCAATTTCTCCGGGAAAACTTTTAAGGAGATGGCCGGCTATTTTAAAAACCTCAAAACTTTATGCAACCATAAAACACCGAACAAATCACAATATAAAGTTTTGTAATGTAAAACTGTAAAACTCACAGACGCAGATTTCCAAAGAATATCCACAGAACTATATATGCAAACACTAGTCGTGCTATAATACGGTCCCATCGTGCCCCTCTTACTTTGGCTTCTTTTTCGAAACCTGTGCCGCCAAATTTTGATTGATATTGCTTTCTCTGGGCCCTGAAAAATACAGAATTGTTGAAGGAAATAGTCATCACTTCTTAATAACAAATCAGAGGATGAGAAGGCAAAATTATATTTCCAAATGATTTAAATAATATAGTTCAAATTATAAAATTTGTATGCATTATGATTTCAGTGATTTCAATGATGGCTCCTTTCAATTAGCATTTGCAGATAATAATTAATGAAGTTTAAATCTTTAAAATCCCTTCTCGAACAACTTTTGCCAGTGGAGACTTTTCACTCTTTTTTAGTTACATATGATAATATTATGAAAAATTCCTAATAACCTGAGCATTTCCTGCACCATATCATGAAGAGGATCATTCCTTGCACCACCAGCTCCACCTGATGCTCCTGTAAACCTGCTGTAAATGCATAAAAATTAAGATATAATTATTGGATATCACAGTATTTATAGTGTATATAATCATGATCTATGATATAATATTTTTTCCGTTCACCCTTTCGTAAATTTAAGGCAATAGTGAAAGGTTACGAATGGACGTTTTTGCAGAAAAACGTGGATTTTGGTTTAATAATAATGTTACCTACACAAATTCTTCTAAGTTTTGACATAACTTTACCTGTTACCAAAAGAATTATTTCTAGGGGGCATTCCAGCATGGCCGGTAAATGGATGTTTTGGCATTGGATTACCATAAGCCTGTGCATGAGCAGCTCGCTCCATTTGAGTATATTCTGCCTTCTTCTTAGTGTCACTCAAGATGGAATAGGCTTCTTGCAGTTCCTGGAACTCTTTTGTCTTCTTTTCATTGTCAGGAAACAAATCCGGATGACACTGAAATAATGACATTACTTTAATTGCAATTATGAACCCAATGGAACAGATTACATGCATTGTGGAATATATCTTTGACCGATTTATAATAAAATTCATGTTTTATTTTTCAAAGTTGCTTGTTTAATTTATAAAAATTAAAGCTCAATAATTATCTAGTTCTTGTACCTTTTTGGCTTTCGCTATGTAGGCTTTTTTGACATCTGATTTGGAGGCACTTTGTGGTATATCTAAGACTTGATAAGGACTTCTGGTAGTTGATAATAAACGCCTGAAAGTGCAGTGCTGGATGTGAAAACAGTACGGGTATTTGCCTCACAGAATGGCCAAAAAAAAGGAAGGTCTCTCAAAGTGATTGATTGGGAACTGGGTTTTACTACCCCAGTTAATGTTTACTAAAAATAGATATTGAACAGCAATTTAAAATTGTAAATATACATATAAAAGTATGTATAAAGGCTGCACCAGCTGACTAAGAGTAATGAAACAGCGATCTCTGAACAAGATTCGCCTAAAACCAGATTAATCCCTTGAAAACTATACAGTTTTGTATAAGTGAAATAAAATGGTTAGATCCTTCGACAAAAACTAAGCACACAGAAGACAAATACTCATAGAGCTAAACTTTTTGATTTGCTCACAACACGAAAAATATTTAGAAACTCATTTTTGCCTCTCAAGGCTACAAATCTTCCCTTCACGAATGAAGAGTTTTTTGTCCTTCTCAATACCAGCTCTTCTTTTTAGCTCTAGGACAAGTTCTTTACGCTGAGTCACAAAAGTCACAAAACACACTTTATTCCAGTTTTTATCTCATAAGAAGCTAAGTTGACACTCATATTTTTCTTCCCGGGGGTTCATTTAATCTCATAACCATTTTTTCTTTGAGAAAAATTGGCCGGACAATCTTCCTCGAAAAAAACATGCCTCACAGAATGGCCAAATCTGAATTTCTATAATTTTGTTGATGGAGATACTTTTTAAATTTCTATCACCACACGTTCTTAGAAAACCTATTAAGGAATGGGGTAATAACCTAAAACTCACGAAAAAACTGAGCTGTGAAAAATTATTTCACAAAAAAGAAAAAATGCCTGACAAAATGGCAAAAAAAAAAGAAAACGAGAAAATTTTATTTTTCTAAAACCTTTGGCTCTTGTTTCAGGCATGCTGCTGGTATTAATATGCCTTGTTAACACCCCCATATAGGTGAAATTTCTTAGAACTGAATAAAAAGGGCATAATTTCCTACACCAAAAATGGCCATTTTGTGTGGCGTTGTTCATATTCCCTGATTTCATGATTTATAACCTTCATTCGGCTGTAAAAACACTCCATCTGGGGTGTTATTGTATAATAAATAGCTTGTGAATACTTTAGACTTATGGTTTCATTGAATAAAAGGAGTTTTAAATTTTGGCCATTTTGTGAGGCATATTTTGGCCATTTTGTGAGGCGTTTAGCCATTTTAAAATTTTGTTTCAGATTCCTAAATTGAACAATGTTCGTTTTGTTTGATGAATACTATTCTTTAAACATCTTCTGTCATACTGGTGCCAGAAGTTCTCACCAAAATGCAAACTTAGTTCAAAAATTTGAAAACAAATTTTGTGAGGCATATTTTGGCCATTTTGTGAGGCGTGTAGCCATTTTAGCATTTTTTTCTTCCTATATTGAACAATGTTCGTTTTTTTTTGATGAATACTATTCTTTGAACATCTTCTGTCATACTGGTGCCAGAAGTTCTCACCAAAATGTAAACTTAGTTCAAAAATTTGAAAACAAATTTTTCAGTGCTCAAAATTTCTACATAAACAGTCATATTTATGCCAGAAAATGTGGTCCTAGTTAATGATTTCACCACAGGAAGTGTTGCCAGAAGACTTTTGTTTCATATGGTATCCACAAAACCTACCAGTCTTTTATAAAAAATTAGTTACAAAAACATTTACAAATTTGGCCATTCTGTGAGGCTAGCCATTCTGTGAGGCATTTACCCGTAAGGAGTAAAATCAAATTTCAGATAAAGATTTTGATTTGTTGGACGAAAAGGAACTCATTTAACTCCTATCCAGGAACTTTCCATCACGATTACATGATTTAAAAAACATATATTTCAACCATTGTGGTCTCCAGCAAACTAGAAGCCTAGTGACTGAGTACTATGTTGTAAATATACAATCAATTTAATTATAATTCTAATAATTCTAATAAATTTACCGTAAGAGAATTCTCCTTCTTTCATGCTGGAATATACGAAGCATTTGCAGCTTCACACATCAATGTAGAGCTATGGTTATCGTGCCAGGGTCAATCCATGAACTATTAAACTGTAACATTTAATTCTCCATTAGAAGGTTAACAAATCTGTGGGTTTAAACAATAATAATGAAATAATGGAGGATATATGAAATATTTAACCGAAACTCATAAAGTCCTGAAATAAGTGCAGGTTACAATTTAATGAAGCATCAGAGGGGGGCAATTTCTTCCCCAAATTTTAAGCCTCTTCTTGCAGAAAATCAATATATTATAAATTATACAGTAAAACCTCCTACAAAGGTACATATGACCATTTCTCTGGTATTATAAGCTATAACACACCAGTTTTCCCTAATGATTGAACATCAGAATCCAAATGTCTTGAACAACTACTGACCAGTCTAAAACCTTACACTCTTGGGAAAACTAATTGAAAGCGAAGTACTAAGAAGGCTACAGGAGCATATGATAATAACCTAAATTGTCCTGACTCCTGAAAAATATGCTTACAAAAGACATCATAGTTCAAAGAAACTTTTTATTAAGACAGGAAATGATGTCTTGATAGCAGGTGATGAAAGAACTGCTAGCAGTGATGCTCTAAGACCTGAGCCTTTGATACTGTAAGCCATAACTTGTTGCTCCGTATCTTGAAGCAAGCAAGAAATAAGAATCAAAGAAACTGCTCTATTTCACCAGCTTCCTTACAGTATTAAACTGGGTAAATCAGCTTCTGAGACCATAACTGAACGATTTGGAGTACCTAAGTGCCCAGTTTTAGATTCAGATCTTTTCAATTAAATATCGATATCAAATCGTGGTACAGATTTGCGAAAGAATCTGGTTTTTCTATTATTGGTTATATGCACTACGCTGATGATCATATATATATATATAACTCTAAAACTCTGGTCACAAGAGCAACTGCCTAAACGTGCAGAAGTGAAAACAAATAAATAAAATATACTAGCAGTCCTTAATACTCGTAATAAATAGATTCATTCAATGTCATAAAACTCTTAACCATACACGTGACCAGTAAAATAATTTAATTGGTCTATAGACTACTGTATAAAATTCTCAATATAAAAACTTTATTAACAATAATAAATTAGTTAATGATCATCAAATCATGAAATTTTTCTGTCCCTCAGATCAGGTCAAAGCCCTATTCAACCGACTAAGAAATTGTTTCTTGTTTTAATACTTTCAACACTACTATATAACAAATAATTTGAGGGATGGAAGAAAAGAATGTACCCGAGAGGGCGTCGATGCGTAAGAAGAAACGAGAAGTAAAGATAAGCCCCCCAAAAGCTAAGTCAACAGCCGAGGATGTTTCTGTGCTTGCTGCAGAAGAAAAATACTGCCCTTGTGAAATCTTTATGGCTGATGAGTTATCTTTGGAATGTGAAGCCTGTACGTTGTTCTGGCATTCAAGTTGTGTTGGCCTGTCTGGGTTGACAAATGATATGTTAGGACATCTGACTAACTGGAAGTGTCCCATTTGCTTTGTGGCACCCCACACAGTTAAGGACACTGATGACCAGAGAGCTGTCAGGGCTATTGTCAAAGAAGAGCTCCAGAAGTTCACACCAGCTTTGGCGAACTCGTTAAAAACAGTTCTCAACAACAGCACGGACAAAAGTGTGAAAAAAGCTGTTAGTCTCTATTCAGATATTACAGCTAAGTCTCAACAAACTGTTCTGAAAGATCTCAAAAGTTCAGAAACAACCAAAGAAGTTGTCCAGCAGGTACAACGTAACATTGATGCAGACAGGGTGGAGAGAGAAAGAAAGAAGAAAAATGTCTGCATCCTGAAGGTACCGGAAAGCACCAAAAACAGTGTCAAAGATCGTGAAAAAGAAGACATCGACTTTTGCATCAACTCACTCGAGATGGATAATGGAGACATTGTGTCCTGCTTTAGAGCTGGCAGAGTCAATAAAGACATACCAGAGTACTGCAGGCCCCTTATTGTCAAACTCTATGACGTAGAAGACGTAAAGTACTACACGAATGGAGGGAGAGGATTCCGGTCAAAGAGTGGTCATTGGATAAACGAAGATCTGTGCAGAGCTGACCGTAAGGCAAATTTTCAAGCACGGGAGGAAGCAAAGAAGAGGAAAAAGCAGAAGAATGCAGAGAAGAGTCAGAAGATCGAAGAGAAGGAGGAGGAAGCTACGGTTGCAAAGGAATAAGCATATTGTATACTAATGCTAGTGGATTCTTTAACAAAATAGATGAAGTAAAATGTTTATTGATGCTAAACAAGAACATTGATATTATATGTGTCACGGAGACACATTTTGATAATGATATTTTAGATGATGAAGTTCAAATTGATGGTTACACAATTTTTAGAAAAGACCGTGACTTTAAAATTGAATCTTCTAAAAAGGATATTAGTTCTGGAGGAGGGTCCATCATTTATGTTAAGAATTATACGTATTAATTCATCATTAGTAGAAGAAAGTTGTAATGCACTTGATTCTTTAGCTGTGTTAATAGATACTGCAAGTGGTAAACTTTGTATTGGATGTATTTATAGATCACCATCTTTAAATTCTGACCAAAATTTTAAATTAATTTCTTTTCTTAAAAATATTTGTAATGTTAATAATGATTTTGAAACACTCCTGGTAGGAGACTTTAATTTACCAGATGTCTCTTGGGAGACTGGTTGTGTAAATGGAGGTTTGGTCAGCACTAATAAGTCATTCTTGAATCAAGAAATCTATATTGATATGTTTAACGAAGCAGGGTTGTCCTGGTATTTTACTACTGAAATAACTAGGCGGCGAGTTGTGAAGGATAGACTCCAAGAGAGTCTGCTGGATCAAGTACTTTCCACCAATGATGCACTTATTAATAAATACACAGTGCTGTCCCCGATTGGCAAAAGTGATCATGTCAGTGTGGTAGTCGATCTAAGTGTTTCTTTAGATTCAATTAAATGTAAAGAGAAGATTCTGAAACCATCATGGGTTAAAATAACTAATGATGATATTTTAAAGTTTAGTATTGAAAATATTAACTGGGATTTTAGTTGCTCTAATGATGTTCAGCTTATGTGGGATGAGTTACATGGCAAACTTACGACTGTTGCTGGGATAGTACCGACTAATTCGGTCTATAACAACAACAGACCTGTGAAGCTGCCATGGGACACATCCTCATTGAAGCGCATGAGAAAGAACAAAGATAAAGCATGGACTGCATTTGATATTGAACCTTCTAGTGTTAATCTTAGTCATGCAAGTAGTAAACAGCTCATATATGAGAATGAGGAAGTGAAAGCAAAGATAAGATATGAGAAGAAGATAACTTCCAATTTAAAGATCAATTGTAAATCATTTTATTCTTATTTGAGAAATAAGAGAAAGGTTAAAGCTTCGGTACCAAGTTTAGATAAGGAAGACGGTACACGGACAACTAGTGCAGGGGAGTCTGCAGAGGTACTTGCAAGTGCCTTTAGTTCGGTGTTTGTTAATGAGCCACTTGGCCCATTACCTAGAAGTTATAGTAAGAATACTAATAGTATATCTGATATTGTTATTACCTTTGATAAGGTTAAAAAGGAACTATTAAAGCTTAATATTTTTAAAAGCACTGGCCCAGATGGGCATCATCCAAAGCTGCTCAAGTCCCTAGCTGGAGATGCTAGTTTTGTAACAGCTCTTACTAAATTATTTAGTGCCTGTAGTGATACTGGAAATCTTCCGGAGGTATGGAAGTCGGCATCTGTAGTTGCACTTTTTAAAAAGGGCTCTAAGTCTGACCCTCTTAACTATAGACCAGTTTCTCTTACTTGTATTCTTTGTAAAGTTTATGAACAGTTTGTTAGATCCCATGTGTTAGAATTTTTAGAAGACCGTATTTCAAAGGACCAACATGGCCATGGGTTTGTTAAAGGAAAATCTTGTTTGTCAAATCTTTTGGAGACTTTCGACACTATACTTAATTTAATAGATGAAGGTGCTCCTGTGGACTTATTTTATTTTGATTTTAGTAAAGCTTTCGATTCTGTTCCCCATTATCGCTTGATTAACAAGCTAGAGAGTCTAGGGATAACTGGTAAAGTTTTAGATGTAACTACAGATTTTATCTCAAATACAACTATGAGAGTGTGTGTAGAAGGTGAAACTTCAGAGTGGAAGATTGTATGGTCAGGAGTTCCCCAGGGATCAGTCCTTGGACCATTACTATTTGTGTTATTTATTAATGATTTACCAGATAAAATTAAAAGTAAAGTTAAAATATTTGCTGATGATCTTAAGCTTATAGCTAATGCCTCCGAGCATGAAACTATAGTTAATGATCTGAATGAACTAGAGATGTGGGAGAGTAAATGGCTTTTAAAGTTTAATCCTACTAAGTGTTCAGTAATGCATTTAGATGTTAACGATAACCCAAGATCAAGTTATTCTCTTAATGGAGTTACATTGGCAGAATCTGTACAGGAAAAAGACTTGGGAGTTATAACCCATAACTCTCTGCTTTGGAATGAACAGATTAAGGCTTCAATATCTAAAGCCAACAGAATGATATGTTGGATTGTTAGAAATCTGATTATCAGGGGAAAATCTGTGATGATATCCATTTACAAAGCTTTGATAAGACCCCATTTAGAGTATTGTGTTCAATTGTGGAGTCCAGTTGCGGCTCATGGAAGTTGGGGGATCATCTTGGAGCTGGAGAGCGTCCAGAGGCGGTTTACCCGTCTGATTGACGAGGTGGGTACTCTTCCATACAGTCGTCGACTGGAAATCCTCAATTTAACAACGCTGGCAGAGCGGCGAATACGTGGGGACCTCATTGAATCTTTTAAAATGATAAGTGGTTTGGCCAACTACGGAGCTGATTTGTTCAGTATGCGCAGATCTGGTCTTAATGTGGTATCAAACAGTAGATGCAGTAAAAGTAGCAGTAAAATGAAGAAAGTCCATAGTTCTTTTCTTCCGGAGAGGGTGAGACCATATTGGAACAAACTCCCCTCGGATGTCAAGAATTGTGGGACTGTGTTAAGTTTTAAAATGAGATTAGAGGCTTTCAAAAAAGAGA